CGGCGCCACGCTACTCGGCTTCTGACATCCCATGCTCGGATAGCAGTGTTCCCATCGACGCAAGTCAAAGCACGCAAGTCAAAACGGCACCGCACTACTCTCTTCTGACATCCCATGCTCGGCACAGCAGTGTTCCCACCGACGCAAGTCAAAGCGGCACCACGCTACTCGGCTTCTGACATCCCATGCTCGGCTAGCAATGTTCCCACCGATGCAAGTCAAGGCGGCACCAGACTACTCGGCTTCTGACCTCCCATGCTCGGCTAACCGTATTCCCACCGATGCAAATCAAAGCGGCACCACGCTACTCGGCTACTGACATCCCATGCTCGGCTAGCAGTGTTCCCACCGATGCAAGTCAAAGCGGCACCACGCTACTCGGCTTCTGATATCCCATGCTCGGCTAGCAGTGTTCGCACCGTGACACGTCCAAGCGGCACCACGCTGCTCGGCTTCTGACATCCCATGTTCGGCTAGCAGTGATCCCACCGACGCAAGTCAAAGCGGTACCCCCGCTACACGGCTTCTGACATCCCATGCCCGGCTAGCAGTATTTCCACCGATGCAAATCAAAGCGGCACCGCGCTACTCAGCTTCTGACATCCCATGCTCGGCTAGCAGTGTTCCCACCGTGACACGTCCGGCCTGCCGGGAAGCGTTGCCCCGATCTCGGGGTCCAGCTGCACGGCGAGCAGCGTAAAAATCAGATACGACCTGGCTAACACGCAAGCCCGAGACAAAATGGGCGGCGTGGATTCTACAAATATCTTGCAATCGTAGGGAAGGTTCATATTCAGAAGATCCAGAGATTCAGTGCTCTGAGCCCTTGCGGATAAAGCCAAGATGCCTGCTGCCATGTTTCAGCTACACTTGCACGACGTGTTGCGAGCTTGAAAGCAAAAGCCATGCTAGAATCATACCCTACGCTTCGTGCCTTCGGCCATGGGCAGCGAAAGCTAACACCTGAAAAGAGATCCCTGAACGCATTCCGCTGCAATGGCCCACCTGCACGCCCGTCCTTTGGAAAATTCTGCGCTTAGGACTCTTTTTTCCGAGGGCATGGGCCAGCGTAACGCTCATTTTTGCCCTTTTGCAAGGCTTCATTGTTTCCATGATCCATATATACGCTAAGCTTTCAATATTTACCAGAAAAACCCATTTTTCGCGGAAATGGACGCGAAAACGCAAAGGCAATAAACGAGATCACCCATTCATGAAGTGACGAGCACGCATGCGTTACAAAAGGCCGCGGGCGCACACACCAAACTTACCCATTAACCGACGCGGTCATCTCCAGAAAAGCGCATTTTTTTGCGGAAACGCACGCGAAAACACAAATGCAATAAACGAGATCGCCCGGTCATGCAGCGACAAGCACGCGTGCGTTACAAAGGCCGCGTGCACACACCAAACTTGCCGTTTCGCGGGAATGTTGCGCGCAGAAACGCAAGCACACGCTCAGCATGGACGTGTTTTCTTCCTGCGTCCTTCCTTGCACCAGATCGCTCGGCCGCACAAGTTGCAACATGAATCTTATTCTTCCCGGTTCCCATGCGAGCGTGGATGAGCAATCGCATGCATGGATCATGCTGAGAGGGTTCGTCGTACATAGGGCCCGTGTTAAAGCCACACATAGAGCACGAGTATACCAGAGCAGGTTGACGACGGGCTTGAACAGTGCTCATGCTTAGGGTGTTCGGGTACATACAGGGTTTGCCCTAAATTCTTAAAACAACGAGAGTGCAGGGCCCAACCTAAACCCCAAACCACTTATGACATCTGACCCCGAGTTTGGGTGCTGCATAGGGTTGAGGCAACCGAGCCTGCCAAGCCCGAAGCCCTTTAGGGTTTAGGGTCTCGGGTTTGGGGTTTAGGGTAAAGGCGGGACTGCAAATGGGACAACTGTAGAAAACGAGCCTGCAGAGCCCGAAGCCCTCTAGGTTTATATCGGGTTTGGGGTTTAGGGTAAAGGCGGGACTGCAAATGGGACAACTGTAGAAAACGAGCCTGCAGAGCCCGAAGCCCTCTAGGTTTATATCGGGTTTGGGGTTTAGGGTAAAGGCGGGACTGCAAATGGGACAACTGTAGAAAACGAGCCTGGAGAGCCCGAAGCCCTCTAGGTTGATATCGGGTTTGGGGTTTAGGGTAAAGGCGGGACTGCAAATGGGACAACTGTAGAAAACGAGCCTGCAGAGCCCGAAGCCCTCTAGGTTTATATCGGGTTTGGGGTTGAGGGTAAAGGCAGGACTGCATTTGGGGCAACTGTAGAAAACGAGCCTGCGGAGCCCGAAGCCCAGCCCTCCATAGGGTTTATAGGGTCTCGGGTTTAAAGGGTTCAGGGTAAAGGCGGAACTGCAAATGGAGCAACTACTGTAGAAACGAGCCTGCGGAGCCCGAAGCCCTGCTATAGGGTTTAGGGTCTCGGGTTTAAAGGGTTCAGGGTAAAGGCGGAACTGCAAATGGAGCAACTACTGTAGAAACGAGCCTGCGGAGCCCGAAGCCCTGCTGTAGGGTTTAGGGTCTCGGGTTTAAGGGTTCATGATAAAGACGGGATGGCAATTGGGGCAGACCTCGATACCCGAAAGGTGGTGTGGGGGTACGTGGCTTTGGGGGCTTTTAGGGTCAACTAAAAACGAGCCTGCTGAGCCCTCAGTGCTCTAGGGTTTAGCTGTAGGTCCAGGGTTTGGGTTCAAGCTGAACCAACCCCAGACTGAACCCTGAGCCCTATAAGCCCCAACCCAAGGCTAAACTGAACCCTATATAGACCCAAACCCCTATCAGCCCTGAACTGAACGCTGAACTCTAGGTCCCCATCCTGAAGCTGGGGCCCTGCAATTCCACCCGTAACACCGCCGGGGGCCTTCCCCCGCAACAATTCAGGGATTCGGGTCTGGGTTTGCATGGGAAGGTTATAAATTGGGTTGAAAGGGTTCGCAGCTTCTAGAGATGAGTTTCGGGCAGTGCAGGGTTGCTAGAACCTCAAGAGAGTTGAGTGCGGATGTTTCAGGGGCTTTGGGATTGCAGGGGCTACAGGATTGTCAACTACTCCGGCTTTGGCATCAAACTCTCTGACGCCAACAGATAGCCGATATTTAGGGTTTCGGGTTCACACATGGGCTTCGGTATATGTCAACCACCTTCAAAGCCCTCATATATAGTCCCCCAAGAACGACCCCCAAGAATGCACATGCTGCATTTTCAGGGTTCGGGCTCTCGGAGTAGCATGGGGTACCAGGTGTTTCGGGTCTTAAGGCTGTCAGCCCCAAACCTCAATCCGATCGACGTCTCCCATCGAGCCCGGGTTTGTTTAGGGTTTAAGGGATGGATTAAGGGTAAAGGGTTTAACGGGTTTCGGGTTAAGGAAGCGCCTGGTTAAGAAGCACTCGTATGTCATACGACTGGTCTGTCGCACCCGAAAGCACACCCTGAGGGGTATATTGTATAAGGGGACCTAAACCCGAAAGCCTAAAACCCTAAACCCTATAAACCCTTTTTGAGCGGGGGTTGGGGGGTTCGGAGCACAAGCCCTAAACCCTGGGGGTTTCGGATATAGGGGATATAGCCTGATCGGGCCCAAAACCCCTAGAGGCTCAATGGTGGGTCCATGGCTGGTGGGGTATAAGTGGGGCAGAGGCTGTCCTAAATGGGTTCTAAGAGCCCTGCTCCACAGAATGTCATTTTCTCAGCTCTGCGCGCTGGTGTTAAAGTGCAGCAACCAGCGCTCCAGGACTCGGCGGGCCAGATTGGCCCCATGAAGCGAGCCCTTCATTAGGCGACTCAAACACCCCACCAGGTCTTCCTCTGTCCAGCAGGATGACCATTTGGGGTTCAAGCGCGCGTCCGCGAAGCGGCACACGTGCTCGCAGTGATAAACGTGCAGCTTCGGACGGCATTTGAAGAGCGGAGTGACATCGTGCAGGGCTTTCTGCCCCAAGGCAGCGTACGTCTGCACGTATGTCCTCCCCGTCCTCGTTTTTGGGCATTTGTAGATCGAGTTCAGAATTTCGTAGGGTCTCTCATAGAGCGGGCCGGCCTTTGAGACCTCATTAGCAAGCTACATATCCAGCTTTCGGGTTCAAAGGAGGCTGTCGTGCGGCCTCCATCACATATGCTAAGGGTCTTGTATAGGCTTGGGTTGTTTGACATATGTAGGGTTTCGAAGATCTTCAAAAGGGTATCTAACCCAAAACCCTAACCCTATAAACCCTAGAAAACCCTAACCCTAGGACCCGCAAAGTCCATCACCAAGGGCTCAAACCGAAAGCTTCAATTCTAAATTGCCAAGCGAGTGTCGCCACCAGCGCCTCAGCCTCGGCATCTGTCAGCCACATGCCAGCTGCATCCAGGATGTTCTGGTAGCGATTGCACGCCCAAGCACATACAGAATGCGCTCGGAGTTCGGGGATATCCAGCTCCTGGCTGTGTACACATGTTACATGGGGTCTTCATGTTTTCGCAACACAAAGCCTCCTGAGAAGCAGCCCGAAAGTATAGCAAACCAAAATGCAAAATGCCATTCTAGTCCCAGGGTCGTTGAGTCTAGCCGCAAGAAAACTCATCCTGGGACGTCACGTTTGCCCCACCAAAAACTCAACCTAATATAGGCGCACACAGCTGGAATTCTATATGATATTTTGACCCTACAGTTCCAACGAAAAAAAAACGTCTTCTCCATATGGCTGTCACGAGTCAGCACTCGGTTGCTGTAGCCCTTGGAAGGCCCCAGTGGGTAATCAGTGGAGATGTTCTCGACCGAAAGTTTTAACAAGCCTTGGACGCTTCGATTGGCTTGCGTCGTTTTTGGGGTAGGTGTATATTCTTTCTGGTTTATCGGTTTAGGGTTTAGGGTTTATAATAGGGTTTAGCGTTTATAGGGTTTAGGGTTTATAGGGTTATAGGGTTTAGGGTTTAGGGTTTAAGGTTTAGGGTTTAGGGTTGAGGGTTTAGGGTTTAGTTCAGGGTTTAGGGTTGTACAAGGACCTGCTAATGCATCTTGGGGCTAAGCCCGTCCACTGAAGAAGGCCGCAGGCCGTGGCGCCGGCAAAAGTCTGTGAACTCCTCGTAGACGAGGCTAAGCCGCTCGTCCCAAGTGGCATACGCGGTTGCCTGTGGGTGGTACCGAGCCAATTCCATAAGCAGACTGCCAACAGCATCCCGAGCGGTCCCCGTCCAAAGGGAGTGAAGCAGGTCCGCCATCTCACCCATGGCACTCCATCCATCCACGGTGTGAAGCCTTGGGTTGCACACAGCTGCACAAATAGAGCTTTCTAGGGCTGTCGGGATTTGTACAAACAAAATTCAAAGTAATTGCTGCTACGGCAAGAAGCCAAATATTTTGACCCACCCGTGACTTTGCCGCTTCGGCCAAGTCTTCTGGATTGTTCCAACTCTCGTGCACAGGGCACAGCCACGGCTTGTTAGTGTTCGGAAGAGAGCTCGCGAAACAACGTGGACAGATAAGATCACTGTTGTTGTAACTCCTCGGTTGCCGAAGCCACTCTCGCCTGAACTTCCAGTCTCCCTTCGACATCACCAAGTGCATGCTGTAATTCTGGGTGGCAGGGTTGCAGCGCTTGTTGCATTGGTTCAGAGAGGACGCCAGGGCTTGCTGGAGCCCGTCCAATGTCAAGTTCTTTGTCCCATCGTAAGCGAAAAACTCGGACTTAATGACCTAAGGCCGGTGAGCGAGGGACGAGGGAATCAAGTGGGGATCGATTTTTTTTTAGGGTTTTTGCACTACTGCTAACCAAGAGGCGGCGAAGGGGTATTTGCTGAGCATGGCAGGAGCATGCACAGCCAAAGGGCTCCACGACAGAATCATCGTGGATTTGCTGCGTTTGCCTTGTCCTTCATCTCCATGAAATGAGACAGCAAAAGCTTTTGCTTTGTCTTCGTCTGGCCAGCTGCAGACCGGGTGCCCCCTGCGCAGGATATTGTCGGGGCTCGATAGGTCGGGGCTCGATTACTAGCGAAAAATGGGTTTGGGGTTTAGGGTTTAGGGTTAACGGCTTTGGGCTTATAATAGGGTTGCAATACTGAAGATTCAAAGGGAACGTTTGGAAACGAAATGTTGCCACCAGGCAGCTTGCCCCATTCTTCCTTGCTTGCCCGGTTCCAGAAGTCAATCCAGTCGACATCGCCGGCCCTGAAGTTAGCGTGTCATAGTTCTAGGGTGATGTATGTGGTTTATCGAGGATTGAGGGTTTCAGGGTTACATTGCCAAATTAGCTGAGAATCAGTTCCTTGATCAAGCCAGCCTCGACCATGGACTGAAACATCATGTGCGGCAAGTAGACAGGCCACAACGAATAGACGGGAGGCACAGGCAGTGCATTCTTGGACTCTTTCTTGGGTTTTCGTTGGGCTGTCGCGTGAGCTTTCGGTTTCGCTTTGGCTTTCAGCCGGGCTCGCAGCTTCTGAGTGCGTTGGCGTTGCAAAGACACCTTGCGGTGCTGCCGGACATCTTTGACCAAAATGCTAGCCGAACTCAAGGGACATCGCAGCCGAGCCTAGGAATGGGATTTTGCACTGCAGATCCCAATTACGCTTAGCACGCAGTGGCCAGAACCAATCAAACAATGCGACCGCGGGGCATCTGGTGCTTTGCTGGCAGCCTTGTGCAGGGCAGATTCGATGTGTTGCGGCGCTGTGCCAGATTTTCCCATTCGCGATGCCCATAGAGTGCCTCGGACAGACAACCAAACCCAAGCACATATGACACTGTTTAAGTTACAACCCTAAACCCTAAAGCCTATAAACCCCCAAACCCCAAAACCCCAAACCCCAAACCCTAAACCCTAAACCCTCAAGGCCGGGATAAATAGAAATTGTATGCTTTCAATCCCTCACTGGCTCAGAGTGTAAACTCTGTATCAAGGGCTCCCCAGTCGTACCCCCCCACCCCCCCCAACCGTTCCCCCCAAAACTCAAGTTTAAAAAAAACAAAGCCCCCAAAAACTCTGGACCTATATTGTGAACCCCAAACCCTTACACCCGTAAACCAAAACCTGAAATCCTGAACCCTGCTTCTGTCCACAAGAGATAGGTAAAGCCATGGCGCTGCGACTAACATTAGAAGGCCCGGCTTCATCAACAGCAGCTAAAGACGCTTCCTGTAGCAACACAGCGGGCTGCCCCAGCCCCACACGTTTCGCAATACTCCTCACGAGTGGAGAACGCAGCCTGAAGTCCGATCGCTTGGGTTTGCTATCCTGTGGTTTCTCGGTGCTGCCGGACGCCTTTGCATGCATGCGCTGGATGCGCTTCAACATGGCGCATACACAACCTGGATGGTTGCAAGCTTCAGTCTTTATACAGATCCATGGTCCAGAGGTTTATGCATTTTAAGAATGCAAACTGCAGGGATTAAGGTTTCATGTGGTACATCAAAGCAATAGAGGTTTAGGGTTCAGGAATTTAGGGTGTACTGCCAATATTGGCCTGCGAGGATTTCTGAGGATGCTTGGGGTCAAGGGCTTTCAAGGCTAAATTCGGGCTACTATTGTTGTAGGGCGTTTAGGGTGTGGGTGTCAATATTGGCCTGCGAGGATTTCTGAGGATGCTTAGGGTCAAGGGCTTTCAGCTTAGGGTTTAGGGTTTAGGGTTTAGGGTTTAGGGTTTGGGGTTTAGGGTTTAGGGTTTAGGGTTTAGGGTTTAGGGGGGGCTATATAGGGGCGACTATTTAGAATATAGGCTCGAGAGTTCCAGGCCCACGCACACATGTATCCTCAGCTGATGGCCGTAGCTACAGGCCCCTGCGAATTGGCCTCGAGTAAGACTGCAGTTTGCAAGGCCGCTTCCATTTAAGCGTGCAGGGTGTTTTCTGCGCGGGCGGATCTGGTGCACACATGTTCCCCGAAAGTAGCAATGCTTGCATTGCCACTGCAACCACGGATGCTTCTCATCCACATGACGTAGATATTTCCACATCAGCTAGGTGGATGCCTAAAGAAGCCCCCTTCGTAACCTAGGTCAAAATCCTCTCCATGGCTGTCCTCGAAGCCACATGACCCGTATTTCGTTCTGATGTTTTGTGGTCTAGCTACGTACTCCCGGGAACACTAGGAGAGGCACCACTCCAAAAAGGCCTGCGTGCCTTAGGCCGCAGGTTTCTTCATTCTCTTCTTCGGTTGGGTCTCGCGTTTCTCCGCTGCAATCCTGAGCTGTCACGATCAGCCCGTTCGAAGCCCTAAGTCCAAAACCCTACACCCTAAACCCATATATGCAGCCTTAAGTCAAACTTGTGGCAGTGCGCACATGCTTCTTGTAAGCATCCACGAAACCAGCAACCTTGGCAGCAGATCTGCAACCCCTAAATTTAGAAAGAATAACAAAGACCCCGCAGCTCTACCCAGCCAAGAAACACGCATCAGAATCGCCTGAACATCGGCAGCCACAGGGGCCGTGCCAAGACCCTTAAGGCTCTTGCGAGCATCTGTGATCTGAGCCACTGCAGCCTGAATCAGATTGATGAGAGGCTCCTGGGACTCCAAGCTTTCCAGCCTCAGTGGTTAGAGCTGTCGGGAGCGTGCGATTTTAAAGAGTATGGGGGGCCAATTATACTTCTACTTCTGCGTATTGGGTGAAGCGACTAGGAGCACGACTTTTTTAGAGCTGCCTATAATAGATACTGCCTAGTAGCTCTGCGCAGACTTTGGCAGCCTGCCCCTGGGCATTGGTGGCCGCGTTCGTCCAAGAATTCACAAATGCAGTGACGGACCCTTCGGAGTCCACCACCACATGAGTCTCCATGTCGGTGCCCTCGGCTGCATAAACCCTAAACCCTAGACCCTAAACCCTAAACCCTCAACCCTAAACCCTCAACCCTCAACACTCAACCCTAAACCCTAAACCCTAAACCCTAAACCCTAAACCCTAAACCGGGCTAAACGTTGGGAGGGCGTGGAAAGTAAACTTCCTTTCATCTCAGCCTAGATTCAGCGGGCTTGGGTGCTCGGGCTTTCTTCGTCGGGGGCTTCTCTGTCTCGCCTGCCTCCGGGGGGGCTGCCTTGGCCTTGGGGTTAGGAGGCGGTGCGGGGCCGCCCGGGTTGGACGTGGGCACGCTCCCACCGTCCGGAGAGTCATTGTTCAGCAGGGAGGAAACATGAAGAGCATACGCAGGGTCACACCCCAGCGAAATGCAGATCTCGTCCTGGGCTGAGGGTCCATAGCCGAGGGTTATATAGGGTTGTTAAGTCTTCATTTGGTTGTTTCAGGGACGGTTGTTACATGTTCATTTGATTGTTTCAGGGACGCGTCTGCTAAATTCCCTAAACCCTAAACCCTAAACCCTAAACCCTATAACCCTATAAACCCTATAAACCCTATAACCCTAAACCCTAAACCCTAAACCCTATAAACCCTATAAACCCTAAACCCTATAAACCCTAAACCCTAAAAAGGCACGGAAGTCGAGTTTCGAGGCTGCGAACCGTTAGCTCGCGTTCCTGAGCATCGTACCATAGAAATGTCTCAAGGTCCGGATTGTTCCGGCATTTCGAAGTCCTGGGAACACATGCGGAGGGTCATATTGCCGTATATGTCTACATGTGAAAAGGTATATGTGTATTAAGGTGCAAACAAAGTCTCCCTTTCAGTTGCGATCTGCGGCGGTTGACAAACGCTGTTGCAGCATCCACGTCGTGATTGTGACATGCGACGATTTGTTCCCAAGGCAGGTATTTGCCTTAACTGCAGGTGTGTTTATGGAGCACATATGAATGTGTATAACACAGTGGTATCGGTGCTGAGCCTAGGTTCCCTTGTCCCTGTCGGTTTCTTCCTTCTGCCTCCTGAACTGCATCGTTGCTTCGAGTGCCATGGCTGCCTGGTTATCACCTGCACAGCGTGGGGGGGGAGAAGGTTTAGGGTTTAGTGGTTTATTGGTTTATGGTTTTGGGGGTTGGGGTTTGGGGGTTAAGGGATTATAGGGCATGGGTTCATGTTGACACAATTGGGTGGCCTCCGGCTTTGACAAACTTTGCCAGAGCAGCAATGCGAACGTCACCACCTTTCCTGGGACACAGCATGTGGTATATGTCGCACAGGCACAAAAAGTTCTATACCCAAACTTGAGGTCACTTCTTGAAGGGGCTTTTCGGGCTTTTGAGTTAAGATTCCGCCAGGCTTGGTTTAGTTCTGTGGCCGAGGGGTTGCTCTCGCAGAACCGGCCCAGTTTTTTGTATGCAGCTGCGTGCGTACCGGAGTTGCACAGTTCTGGGGCCGAGGCTTTCG